GACGGACAGACGGACAGACGGACAGACAGACGGACAGGGCCAAATCAACTCAGCTCGTCGCCCTGATCAAGAATATATATACTTTGTGGGGTCTGCCACGCCTCCTTCTGCCTGTTACATACATTTCAACAAAACCATTATACCCTGATTTCCCATTGAAAATGGGTTCAGGGTATAATAATGCAAAATTTGGAAAATTTAAAACTCTAAAATCATTTATGTTCGAATAGAGTCGAAAGTGAAATATACAAATATAAACTAAATTATGTTGGAATCGAAATAGAAATGGAATGTCAGGTATACTTTTTACTTGTAATTTCACAAAATAACTTGTTAACGTTTCTGGACCACTGTGCAATGTATCGATCAATCAGTCACATGCGGAAATTGGAAGAGTGTTACTAACTATAGGTCAATCAGAACGAACTTTCAAATTGAAACCGAAATCGCATTCATATCTGAGGTCAATTCAAGTCAATGAATACGTTATGTATGTATGGAATACATGAAGTGATAATTGAATTGTAACTGGCTCGCCCACTCACCTGTCGCGCACATTCTCCAGGTAATCGGCTATATAATCAACCATTGATTTGGCAAAGTCTTTGAATTCGGGCGCTTCCATATCGATCTGTAAATGCAATTCCAGCAGTCACATTAATTATTACATTTAATTAAATTCACATAAATGTACTAAAAATAAAAATATAATAACAAAACCAAAACCAAACCGATTACTCACCGAGACACTGGGATCCAGTTTATCTACCACCAAAGTGTTAGCTTTTGCCTTATTCTCACTTGGCAAGGGCATCTTAGTATTAGTAGAACCTTTGCTCATGATCAATGGTATATAATGAATATATCTACCAAATGCTGCGTTAGTTGTTAATGAATGCATTTAATGTTAGTTAAATGTAAATGCTGAATAAGTATATGTTAACAGCCGCCAGTATAATGTAGATGTGTAGAAGGCTCTTAGTCTAATAACTAATACTAATCAGTATAAGCTATGTAATGCAAATATGCTCTAATGACAATGAAGCTTGAATAGAATCACAAATTATAATATTAATTAAGTAAAAACATTGCACAGACACCATAATAATCAGTAACACAGTAAAACTTTTAAATATCTATATATTAAGATATTTAAGATAATTAACTGTCTAATCAAGATGTCTACAGTGAATTAAGAGGATATAATTGTTTTGAAGCAGACTACATTAATCCAATTGGTAAACATGTAGAAGAGTAATGTGGTCCAATTACAAAACGTAAGTAAAGTCCATGGGAATTCTACCTAAAAACTTATAGAAGAGACCTACAGAGATCCAACTAACAAACTATATGATATGTTGTTTCCAATTTGCAAAATACAATATTTTCTCCATGGTCCTTAGCCAACCAAATATACTCTACAATTTATGAACAAGTATTAAAATATTTACACTCTGTTTTAGTCTCAATGTATTTTTACTCATCTTATTTGAGGTAAATTAAGCTTTTTAGCATTATATTTTCGATTTTTATTTGGCTAAACTTAACTAACATTTACTTGTTTATTACTTTTGTATTTATCCAATTTTTTCAAGTGTATTAGAATACATGTTTAAGCAATAGAGCAAAAAAATGATTTTGGTTTTTTTTTTGTTTGTTGTTTGCAAATTTGTTTGCTTGACTTCAGTCACAACAAAAACCTTGGGTACAATCAAAAGTTAATCCGCTTGCAGTTACAATTTTACTGTTTGGCATTAATAAAGGTACGTGGAAAACCTTTTGCAAAGCAAACAAGTCAAGACAGAGTTGTTTGGCCTTGAGGCTCAAATGTAAAATAAGTAAAAGCAACAAGTTATAGAAACCAGATCAGAACCAGATCCAACTAAACAAAAAAGTGATAAGACTGACGTTTGGAATGTTGAAGTTGACCAAATAGACAACAAGGCTAATGCTGAATGCTGAGTTCAGTTAAGTTGCGTTGAGTTGAGTTTTGATTTAAATTAAAGCACATCTTAAAAGGTCATTTGGCAGCATATATACGCATTAAGTATACGCTCCATTGCTGCAGTGTGATTATTATGTTAGTATTTTAAATCACATTAATTGCTTAAATATGACCAAGAGGCACACGCATGACAACTCACATATATACATATAGAAACACACACTCACTCACCGTTGTGCACTTAAGTTGACTGCTTTTAATTATTTGCACTTTTTTGTCTTGGCTATCGCTGAGCTTATGTTACGTTGAGTTACGTGACGTTACGTTACGTGGCGATACGCGTTTGCTATTTAGTTAGTCGCTCGTCTATGATTTAGTCAAGAGGTGCCCGCTCCGGCGTCCGTTAGCCAACTGAGTGCTGCTCGTCGTTCGACGAGGCCTTTTAAAGCATCGCCTCGGCTCGCCTCGCCTCGATTCGCTCCGCCTCGCTCTGTGAGCTTTGTGAGCTGCGAGTGCAGCCGCAGGACCGGTTCACTCGCTTCCCTCAATCGCAAATCTCAAAACGCTGAGCTGAAATTGAATAAATTAATTTGTACTATAAAATAACAAGTGCACCTCGGTGTGCACATAATTTAAATATACTCTTGCTAACAAACCAAAAAAACAAACATTTTTTTTTTTTTGCGCACACGCTGTCATTTTCACACAAGGTGCATTACACCTGCGTATGCAAGATGAGAGAATATACATATTTCAGTCAAGCTGAAGACTGAATTAGCTTGCGTATAATCCAGTTTTTAAGACGATTCCCCCACTGTGACTCATCCGTTGTGTGGGGGATTCCTCAAACTAACAGAGGCGACAAACATGAATTGAATAGTAAACGAGAAAGAAGTATGAAAAACATTTCGAAGCAAAATCAAAAAACTTGAATTTACATTTATCGCTCGATTTGCTGGACCAATTATAGAAATTGTTTTTGTAACGTTAACTCATAGATAAAGCAAAAGACAGAGAGAGAGAGAGAGAGAGAGAGGAAGAGAGGGACTACATTAATGTATGCTGACCTATGTATATGCTACGCTCTGCATTATTTGCGCTCTCTATGTCCATTCACATTCCATGACGTCTACTCTCTTTAGATTCTCCGTCTCCTTCCCTCCTTCTGTGGCCAGAAGGAGTTGGCGCCACCCAACTGTTGCTGAGTGTGTGCGTGTGCCTGGCATTTCAACGAAGCCACTTTGGCAAATCACTTGAATGAATCAACAGATTTTTGCCATGGCAACCGTTAACTTTTCTCTTATTGTGCTGTCGCACAATAGCCCACCCCCATGGGGAAGCGTTTCAACTCTAATGAGTGGGAGGGAGGGAGAGAATGTTGATTTTCCTACTCGATGCTGAAGTACTTCTATTTGATTTATGGCTGACTTGAGTTGAAAGGCTGAGGGCTTGTGTGATGGCGCCCAGAAGTGGGGGATTACATAAACGAGCAGACAAAGCTCAAATGGATTCTGTATGCAGTGATAAAATTGCTATTGGAAATATTTAACATAGATAGATAAAAATAACTTTTTCACTTTTAAGCCTTAACCCTAGGCAAACTTCTGTTGAGCTAAGGATACCGAAAAGTTTCATTATTCATAGCCAAATGTTGAGCAATTACAAAAACTAAAGTAGAGCCAGTGCATATAGGTTTTTGTTTAATTTATATTCTTAACTTATTTATACTAAAAACAATCAACAAAGATTATGTTAAAGTTATCTAACAACTTTTCAGAATCTGTGTACATATGTCATATCTCTATTAATTTACTAGTTTAGATTAGTAGGCAATCGAAACATGGCGACATATATTATAAACGTTGATTATTGCTTCTAAATAAAACAAGTAAGAAAGCTCTAGTCGAGACTACTCGACTACGAGATCCCCTGAACCCTTGGAGTAATAGCTGTTTCAATAATTTTTCGCGTCTTTCAGCTTACACAAGAAACACGCACACACACACACACATGCACAAACAATTACATACATATACACACACAAGCATAAACACGCATGGGCGGCAGTGAGCGCTTACTATGAGAACTTAATTGCTTAATAACTTTTTTTGTGGACGTACGATCTTCATGAAACTTTCAGATTATGATTATAACATGGATATGCATGTAATTGCCAAAGCACAAGTCTCTAGTATTTGAAATACGCTTTTTACAAAAGTGAGGGTGAGGGGGTGAATTTAAGGGTGGGGGGTAAATTTTAACAAAAACCGAAATTGTATAAATTGCATATAAGCATACATTAAAAATTTGGAGACTCTAGCAATAAAGGTGTAGAAGATATAATTTTATAACTGGTTTTCGATAAGGTTTTTTATCGATAAAAAAAGATCGGGATGAGTTATCGATTTTTAATGATAAACTTGATATGCGCGCTGTAATTACGGACATTTTAAAAAAAATTTGAAGTCTCTAGCTCTTATATCTTCTGAAATCGACGCGTTCATACATACGGACAGACGGACAGACGGACAGACGGACAGAC